GAACTGAAAACACTGGCAGGTAAAGTAATTGTCACAATTTCATTTCATATAAATTTTAAATTTAGCAGCTAAAGTTACTGAAAAGGGGTTTGTAATTTTATGTCCTTGTTTGAACCTTGATGGCCAAATGACCAGCTAATGATAATGAGATTTTATTTTATCTAAACATTAAATTTGTGGTGACCATAGTTTGATGTTATTGAAAATATGACATTTTATCCATACATTATAATTAATGGCCAACTGAATGAACAAGCAGCTTGGTCAAAGTAACCCAACCAACTGGTGCAAATGAACCACTCAAAACACCTTTGACCCAGCATGAGCAACAATGTGTTTACAGATTTTAAAGAGTGCAGTGTCTTTGTATGCATCCCTCAAGACTTGCTAATCATTTATTTCACTGCTCTAGCACTTGGCAACCAGCTCTGACTGTGACAGAAAATTTGCCACACAAAAATGAGGGGAAATGATAAGATGAGGAACCCAAAGGATACATGTGAAACTCCATGTTAAATTTCTGCAGTGTGATTCTAATATCATTCATATTTCAACAACATTTAAGAAAAGACCATATAGTAAAGTACACAGGGTTTGGCTACAAATAGATGAGAGTCATCAATCTCAGACAGACCATTTATACACATTGAATGTTTTATTAAAAAAGAAGTTATAACAGTTTATTTTATACACAACTATTTATGAGGTTATAAGCCTATTAATAGAGAGCATTTGTCTTTTTGACAAGCATGCCCACTTCACAATGCAAAGAAAAAAACAAGAGAAGGAGGGCAAAGAGGGTGATAAAAATAAGACCAAGGATGGACTTTTTAAAACAAAAAATAAACCTTTTTACTTTTTAACCCTCAAGTATCACACACTAGGTACCAAATACAGAGTTTTTATAAAAAATCTGCCATTTTCCATGCTGTATGTGCCTGCTAAATCCCCTGATGGCAGCAGTAGGCCAGCACAGGGCACAAATCCACACAAGCACAAGACAGAATGGGAGGTGTGCACCAAAGCGAGCCTCGCCTCCACACCAGAAGCATGCAAGTGCACGAGGAGACAGTCAACACACAGGGGAGGTGATATTACAGGATCAGGCTGCTGGCTCTCTGCAGCTGTGCTGATAAAATGGAGAATGGGCCCTGGATGTCCTGTCTATGGATTAATGATAGACCAGTCCATTCAGTAAACTTAGGCCCTTCATCCTTATTGTATCTGGCGGGGTGTGGGGGAGTGTGTAAGTAAGGTTGTAGGACTATGGCTCTATACTGGACTTTCTCTGCAGGTCTGCAGTTAGAATTTTGAGGCCCCATCAATTTCACTATGTGAAATCTAGTTATCTGCAGTCACTGTTTAAAACTGTAGGTAGTTAAGACATTGTTATCTGTGAGCCTGTGGTCTTAGAGCAGAAGAGGTGGAGAGGAGAAAGTCAAAAGGAAGTTAAATAAAAGTACAATAAACATGTTTTTCCATGCGTTTTCAAAATCAATTTAGAATTCAGGTTGCAGTGGGAAGCATACTCATTCACGGGTTTGAGAACATTTTCTTTAGTTCTTGAGTTAAAGACAACCTGAAACACAAAGACAGTAATTATTTCTTGAAACTGAGTAAAAGTGTAGGGATTAAAACAAGAACCAGGGAGGCCACTGAAGAGATCAGATGGTTGTCATGTTTACGAGAGCAACACCAGGCCACAGCTGAGTATATCATCAATTTATTGCCCAGCAGATGCAAATAATGCTGAAAACCAAACCTATGATTTTACTCCAACACAAGAATCTTGTTTCTGAAAAAGACAAAATATCATTAGTTCCCTGTTGCACCACTGCATAATAATGTGCTATTTTATTACAATTCTCAACTCAGATATACTGTATTTTCAGCACTCAAGTAGAATACTGCACAAATGTAAAGTAAAATAAGAATTCCAATCTGAATTTCTTAAAACAAAAAACTCAAATTTCAAGTTCTCATCAGTGTGATATTTAAACTGAACCATAACTTACAACAGTGGCACTTAATGATCAAGATTAAAAATAAAAAAAGGTCTCTTGAATGAATAAATACACATTGATAGGCAGCTTAGACAGAAAGTACGAGCCAATTGTGAAACTGTGAATCTGCATACAGCCTTAAACGGTTTGTTCTGTTTGAATGGATGTGGATCCTAAACCTCACCACAAACACTCTCAGCACGTTAAACATTCACATAGCTTTATACTGCCTTGAAACATGTTAAATGTCACCAAAAAAAAAAAAAAAGTCAGCCCTGCAACAGTTGAAATGGCTGCATCCTGCCAGAAGCTAACATCCAAAACTTCCCCCGGATGGATGAAAGAAATTATTACCCTATAACTTTAACCAGTCAAACTCTTCTGATAAATATTGGAAATTAAAAAGAAACTGAGGAAGTATCTCTGTTCTAAATCTGCATTCAAATGTGGTGATTACTTTGGGAGCAGAGCTGTGTTTGAAATCATGTTTTTTGGAGAAAATCCAATATCTCGAAAGGGGCTGGACCACATTTTTGATTTCTGTACAGTTAGATCTATCAGGCTCACTACAGGTTAAATGTCACCCAAGTTTGAAATCACTCACACTCATCTGTACAATTCTGAATCTGCGAGAAGAGGACAAGCAGGCACGTCTATGGAGTATCTTACATATAACCACACAACAGACACTAACTAAAGGTCAGATGAGCAATGAATGCTTTATCAGGTAAGCATACCAAACTAGCTAACTATCTGTAATACAACCATATAGCATATGTTGTTTAGTTGAAGTCACCACCCAGTAAAACTAACTATCCTGACATGTCAAAAACACAGTTCAACAAATATTAGCATGATTTCCATCCTTTCAATACCTTATGGGTGAAAAATGTTAATCACTATGCAAGATACAACCAAAATGTATTTCAAACCTGAGCCATAAAAGTCTAACAAGCCTACATTAGCTCAAATACACCCAATGCCACTCAGCCCTGGGTAATTCCCCTAATCTGCAACAGAGTGAAAATTTCGATGTCAAATCACAATTTGCACAGGACAGATTGCAGGAGGAGGAGAAAAAAAAGTGTAAAAACAATGTGCTTCACTAGTTATTTTTGACCTTGATGGCTTTTTGGAAACATGGTTTTGGGGACTTCTTCACTAGGTCACAGGAGAGGCACAGAAGAGGGAGTTGCGATCCGAGGTAATAAGGTGACCTCCGGAGTATGACTCGGCCTTGAATCTCCCACTTGGGATCCACAATCTACCAAAAAGCAGCCAGTGATTCTTACTGCAATTTACCAAGTGAATACATTTCAAGGTTTTCTAGGTAGTTTGACTGCCATGTCAGCCGCGACAAGCAACACTCGGTCAGTGTTTCGGGCTCAACACTGAGTTTTCATGAGGCTACAGAGAGGTGTCTTATCACTGTACAAGGTAGATGCTGTACATAAAAAAAAAAAAAAAAATCCAAACATGTTGAGCCCCCCCCCCCCTCCCTTTATCGGGCGAAAAGTGTGAAGAGTACAAGAAAAAATAAGAGTAGGAAAAAAAAAAACAGTCAAAACTCAAAGCTGCGATTGCAATCTCTTTCCACGCATCATGGATTACATCTCGACCCGCCACAACAAATCAACCATGAATGTATGACATGTTTTTTTCAGTTTTTTTTTTTTTTTTTTTTTTTTTTTTTTTTTTTTTTTTAGATAAGAAGTCAGATCTGTACATATGAAATTTAACGTTAAATTAATTCCCCTCAAATGAAAACTGTCACAAGCCTAAACATCATTTATTTGGCTCTTATTTTATAATCTTCTTCAAACTAGCGATCCAAACAGAGATCCAGGAAGGCTGACATAAAGTGTGGGATTCCATTCGGTGCAGTCAGGGTACATACCACAGGTCAGACCAATGTAAAGGGCATGCATTGGAGCAAACTCCAGGTAACAGTGGAATGTGAGGAGGAGTGATACTACACGAACCTGAATCTTCAATAAATCACTCTTCATTTTTTCTCAGATCCGCTCAGTAACCATATGACCATTTTTGTTGCTTTCACTTAAATAAAAACTGACTTTGGTGCTGGTTTTCTAAATTCACCAGAATAGGTGCTAATTACATTCTTTCTCTGTCTGAAAAGTTGTTCTTTACCAATAATACTTATAGAAATTTGTTTTAAAAGCAGGAGTACAGATGACTGAGAGACAGCGGTATCCTGCGCAAAGAGAATGTTTGGTGCTCGTGTGTTTGAGGTGCCTCTTAACAGAAAACTAGTACGAGCTGCATGAAATATGAAATTCATATGGTCAGATGGTTAAAGGGTAGCTCTGGTCTACCTTCAGTTCCCATAATACCAAGTGAGTCTGACCACAATCTTCACAAACGCCTCAGAGAAGAGCCGCTGCTATTTTTATTGCCTTTGTGCATCAATCTTCCGTACAGTTTATGCAGCTAGTGTGCGTTCCATCAATCAACTCTAAAAGCACCCGCCACATGCCTTTGTCACCACACTGTCACTCGCAATGTAATGAGACATGTTATTAATTAATTTGCTTTCCAAGACCTGACCTTGTTAAGCATTTATTTTGCACTGCACAGCGGCACATGTAGACAGGCAGCTGCAGCAGATCAACAAAGTGTAACAAAAAGTGAAGTAACAGCCAAGGTAGCATCCGAACTGAACCATAAAAGAAAGGCATCTTATTTTACTGACATGTCTCAAACAATATGTTGAAAAGGATATGCTTAGGCAGCCTTTAGGGTTGATTTATGAGAGTCTATAGTATTGGCACTACACGTTTTGTATGTTTGTGGAAGGTGTACCAAGACACCTCGTGTGTGCGATTGTGCGCTTTAAAAAATACTGTCTTAACTACAGGTTAATATTGTAGCGCTGCACACCCAGGCAGGCGAGACCTAAGCAGCTCTGTAGTGGAGCAACTAATGAAATGTTGGTCAGAATCAATTAGCATTGTGGAAAAAGAGAGGAAACTAGGATTCAGGTCAAACTGGAAAGTTCTATTTTAAAAAGTGAAATTTGAGTACAGAAATGAGATGTTCACGGGGAGATTTCCTGCCTACGACTACATAACACATCTTAAAAATGTGGAGATGACAGGGAGAGAATGTGAAAGCATTTGCGAAATCTGCGTAGGGAGAAACAGCTACAGAATGGGAGGGTGTCTGTCAAACACACCAAAGGCTAGATATCCATAAAAATCCTTGTTTAGTAGTAATAATAATAATAAAAAAATCAACTTGTTTAAATATGAATATTATAAGTCTGCTTTCTCATGGTTAGGAAATCAAATATAGTCTCTGTGGGGGTTAAAGGAGGGCGCGGGATGGGGGAGCCCTCCTATCACTACAACTCCATGTCCTGGGCCTCGTCTTCTGAGAAATCAGACATGGAGCTTTCAGATGAAGAGTCGCCTGCCCCCTCTTCTTGCTCCTTCAGAGCCTCCTCTGTTGCATATTTCTGGATGTACTCTGTGGATGGAGAGATGCGGGCAAAGAGAAGACAGAAAGAGAACATGGTCAGACAGCAAAAACTGCGAGCTAATGCTCTTAGTTGAGCAATGGTTTCCAGAAATTATAACATTTTGTTGGATATTAAATTTGAAAAAATAACTTTTTCCAGGTGTGCCATGATCTAAGAATGTAAAGGGATCTAGGATCTACACCCAGCAGATCTTTATTAAGCTGAACCTTTGATTTTCTGCTTGTACTCCTCTGGCCGGTGAAGGTACATGGCAGCTGCATCTCCATTCAGGGGGTCGATGGGGTTTGGGTAAGCGAGCAGCTGGGGCAGGAACGACTCAAAGATGTTGGTCAGATCTGGGGAAGCAGGCAACAGAATCTCATTTTACCCACAGAACATTTAACAGCAGATACCATCAGGCTTCAACCAAAATCTAACTATTAATCTGAAGGAACCTTATGGAGAAATGAACACATAACATTTGGCAACAACATGTCTAATATAAAGCTGCTGCCTCTTTTAAATGGCCACAGTAAAGCTCATAATGTATTTACAAGCATGTCAGTGAGTGAGGACCATATGAAAAAGGATCAAAGCTGTATGGTGTGTATATACAAGCTAGCACAGCACAAATGTAAAATCAGCCTGATATCCTCACAGAGGCTCGAACAACATTAATCCCTTTCAGTAGCTCACTGCTAGCAGGCCTCAATTTTCTCTCAGAGCCGAGGCCTGGTAGAAAACCTGCAATTCCTGTCTCATCTGCTAGGTGTCACTGTTGGGTCCATTCAAGTTGGGAAAACAAATACTTCCCTACTGTCTATTGTACAGCATTATCATGTTTAGACAATTCAATCAGTTGCTTTTGTTCCCTCCTTTTGCAGAGACTCATTACACACAATGCTTAGGTTGATTGGCCTATTGTTTCCATGTTAGTCCAATACGATTTGCTCTTTTCAAACACTTGACAACAAAATCTGCAGCATTTTACACAAGTTCAAACAAGGCCACAATATCACAAATGTAATCATTTAAAAAATGCCTGACTTGACTTTAAAAAAGGAGAACAAAGCAGGCAACCTCACCTGACAACATTAATAATTTAGAATATTAAAATCTATTCTCTTTCATATCACAACTCTTGAACCTGAATTAATTTTGAATCAAGATACTTTCTGTTCTGAATCATATCCAGAACACTGGTGAGAATAAATAGGGAGGGATGCTATAACATCTGCTAGGGATATTACTGTAAAGTCATTTATATTACTCAACAGCTATCTCATCCCTGTGGACCGACTGTAATGAGAAATTAATGGGGAAATATACAGGGAGAAGGGCACAGGGACATGGAGAGTAGTAGAGAGAGACACTGTGACAGTGAGAAGAGCAACTGGGTGAGAAACAGTAAACAATCACTGCCATCAAGAGTATGTGAGCGTGTCGCTCACAGCTGATACCACAGTTAATCATTCCTGTCGAAGGTGAATGTTTTCTGACCTTGCTGGGTGAGGGTATTACCTCATTAGTGTTCACTTCTCCCCTCAGTAAGTAGATTAGGGCCACTTGATAGCAAGTGGGCAGCAGGCACCTTTTTGGTGCTGATGGCACTGGGTCAAGATCTTCGCACATAATCACACAGACCCCAGTGAGGTAACTTAATATGAACACATACGCAGTGGGGCCACTCACCATAAAGGGCTGTCCATGTCTGGTTGATGACATCTAAGCACACTGTCCCTGACCTGGGAAAGCAAGAAGAAAACAGAGTTAGAGGGGTAAGTCCGAAGGGCGGGGAGAGGGAGGGTGTGTGTTGTCGTGTTCCTGCTCAGAGCATGTCCCATTTCAAAAATTGCTTCAAATGTGCCCAAAATTAGAGGACAAAGCCAGTTGAGTCCTTCCAGCTCTATCCCATAATAAATTGTGTGGCAGTCATATATACAATTCTTGTCAACTTGGAAAGTTGTGAAATACCATGTGACCAGGTTTGGAATTACCAGGTATTTGTGTTCAAATAGTTATTAGTCACTTAAGTATATACAGTATGACTTTCAGTCGACCAATGAAAACATTCACCTCACAGCTTAAATAACAGAAGCTTGACACAAACTGCAGAACTGTCTGCTCTTGACACTTGAACACTTCTATAGAGAGATACTTTACTATTATATTTATGATGCCCTTTATACAGTATTGACAGCTGTCCAGTATGTTTTGAATTGAAATTTTAAACTGCAAACTAGTTCTAGTTTACCACTGGTATTTATGTGAGCCATTTCCTGGTAATAAATATAACACTTTCACATGAGAATTGTTTTGTGAGGCTAGACTGTCTCTTTTGGGGAGGAGGCACAGGTTCAGCCCGTCATTCAGGTCCTCCCAGGGACCCACCTTCATGGCCTGTGTCCTTCAGAGGATCTGGGCACAAGGTAGTGGATTAATAGGCCCAGAGAAACAAAGAGCTCGGCCAGGTTAAATATTTGTGTGATGTGATTTGCTGCTGTTAGCTGACTGTGCCAAAAACTGGTGGTTTATACAACTGGAAGAGTAGCTCACAACATAAGTTGATCTTTTTAACACTTTCAAAGCCTAAAACTTGAAAAGGCAATATAGAAGCATTAGGAAATATTACTGAATACAGCCAATGTTTAAATTTACAATGACAGGCCAGTTGTTTACAACTTAATCATCATCATCATCAAACTTATAATTTGATGTGTTTGATACTCAAAATGTATTCATAAGCCAATAATCTACACTGCCAGTGTAGTCTCAATGTAACAGAAAACACTCACACTTCACTGACAATTGAAAACATGATATCAACTTACGCTTCGTCAATGTTGGGATGAAAAATCTTGTTCATGAATCCTGAAAAAAACAAAAAAAAAAACAAAAAACAAAGTAGAAATGAGGACAGTATTAAAAAGTGAAGTGGAACCTAAAAAATGGGATCTTACAACAGTTTATACAACACTAGAGTTCGTACCTATTGATGGCGATTTGAAAGGGTATTTGTCAGGAAGATCTACTCGCACCTTCCACACACCTCCCTCATACGGCGCTGTACATGAAGAGGGGACACAAAAAAGGGAGAGAGAACACTGCTGAGGACAGGGGAAAGACTTACACTCGACTGAACATCATATTCCATCCTTCATGCACTCCAACAGATTTAGACACTGCGGGGTTATACCAGTTTTCTGCACTCCTTTTTCCTCACAACAGTGAAGGGACCACTTGAGAACTGAGCTACACTTCATTTTATTTTATGCAGTAATATATATATCAGCCCAGGAGAATTTTTTACTTGCATATCACTTCACAAAATACACTGACATCAAAGAGGAAGAGAATCAGATTGTGAGTGTGTGATGCTCTCCCAGAATAGCTGTGTGTAACAAGACCCTCATGTGCCCTACTGAAACTGAACAGCACATAGATGACTGAAAACACACTAGCTGAGGATGAATGGCAGTGATCATGTACATACACACAACAGTGCCCTTATTTGGCACAGTTTTGAGGAATCATAAATGGGGTCAAACAACCACTTCCTCTCTTTATTGATGTGCAAGTGGCAGCGGTTTTTAGTGTGACAGATGTAACGAACAGAATACGAAAGACGTGTTTCCTGCTGATGAGGCCACTCTCTTCATCCAAATTCCCCCCTCAAGCCTGGCTCCTCTCGGTTTTACACTTTGTGGTTTCAGGCCTGAAACTGCCTGGCCTGCTGGGATGAACTTCTCTTCATGTTGGTAACATGTTACATGTTTGGCCAGAGAAAGGGGGCAGGGTCAATCAAAGAAGATTCAAGATCTCAAGTGGAGGACACGCAAACAAATGTTTCATGATTTGGTTGATGTTTCTTGGATGAAATAGATGGACATGGATGAAAACGCACCCTAAACCATAGACTTCTCGGACAAATTAATTATCCTGAGGAGAATTCAGCAGTGAATTAGGGAAGTCTTTTTTTTCATGTGTCAGGACAAAAAAAAAAAATTATGTTAAATCAGAAAAAAGAAACACTTACTTCCCTGTGGTCCGAAAAACTTCACTACAAATTCATTGAGTCCACTGAGGATGGTGACTTCATGCTTGCTCTCGATGCTGTAATGGCTGTTAAGGACAACTGCTTCATTTGACTGCACACACATAAACAAATACAACCTGAGTGACTAAAACGATGAACAGTTCTTCAGCAATATTCAGGGTCAACACCAATTTGGCCTCTCTAGAATGGTAATTCAGCTGCGGTTGTTTCCAGTGTAATACATCATCACATATTATGTTACAGCAAAGGCAAAGACATGAGCAGAGTCTGACCTTTTTCCTCGCTTCTACACAACATCATTCTTTCATATGATGCAGAGTTATTAAGACTAATGAGGGAAATGATAGCTTTTGACAGATAGTGAAAACAAATCAATGCAGGAAAATTACACTTAGATTCTGCTCTGACCCCAAGTCCTGGAGACACACTGTCAATGACAATCAATAGCTTTGTGCCAATTTGTCATTGTGCACGCTGGATTAATGCCCCAGACTGAATGTGAAGTATGAGGGACAGCGATTCCAAAACAAAAAAAATATTCATGCACGCACGCACGCACACTCACTCTCTGTCACACACACACACACACACACACACACACACACACACACACACACACACACACACACACACACACACACAAATTGGCCAGTAGATCATATTCAGCCATCCTTCAGAGCCATGCAGGCGTCCCTCCACCTGTCACCCTCTAAAAGCCCCGGTGGACATATAACACAAGTCCCCATAGAGAAACCACAGTTCAGAAGGCCATCTCCTTACAGAGAAGGTCTGAGATTCTACCAGTTTATATTACCAGCCATACTGGTAACAAACCTGATATAAAATACTTACTGCAGCGTTAAATTAAAACATATAAAAGAAAACTTTGCTTTTAGTCCTATGTACATACTTAATACTGTCCGCGGGTAGACATAATAAACTCTTATATCAGATTCATCACCTGATCAGAGTGGCTGTATTAGTGTAGGCTGTAATTAACCAAATAATCCGGGGGGCAGGCATTCTGACAGGGCATGTCAACAAACGTGCTGAGACGTGTCCATCTGTAAGGTCTCAACCACACAACCACTTTATATATAGTAGCTGTATGAGGCTTCTTTGCAGTTGAATATAGGTTGTGTTATTCATTTAACTTCAATAACTACGTGACGAGACAAACCTCACTTCCACTGTAAGGTTTAATGTTATCAATTTCTGACCAATTTAGTTGCAGCTTTGTGCTCTATAATTGGTAACAGCGGTCAATGCCAAAATTACTTGGATCTGACCATCTCTATGCAACAAACTGCAGATGATGTAGTTCGTATTAATCACAGGGCTCAACCGGCACAACTGTTTATAACTTCTGATTATGTTGCCGTTTATCCATTTCAATGTCAGTTACCTCCAAATATATTAAATGGCTGAGATTTAGAAAAACTGTATTTACCCTGGAGAAGTTTATTACGGTTAGCGAAGGAAATAATCACCCAGTGTTTTCTTCCACAGACATAATTACAATAATAACAAAACCCCAAAGAATGTTATCTTATTTCTATTCAGTGTCATGTGGATATGATGAACGCTTGCTCTCATCATTCTTGATCCCCTCTCTAACACAAATTCATCACAGAGAAATTATTTCTCTTTCATGTGAGCAGAGGGGAGAAGCACAGGAAATAAAGTTGAAGCAGAGAGAGACTTGGGGAGAACATAAACCAGTGTAAAAGAAAGAGAAAAATGAGAGCGAAATGAGAGTGAAAGACCGACAGACCACATTACAGACAGAAGGTGCAAGAGATGGGATAAAAATCAGTTTTCCATGCCACGCAGTAGCAGCTGGCTTGTCAATCCTGATTGGGTGTGTATCCCATTAGCAGTAGCACTGACCCCCAAAGAGTTAAATCAAACTGGAGGTTATTTTAAGCTCTGGTTGAGTCTGCAAGAGCGGACTGAATCCCTGGCTTCAGCAAGGAAATGTGTCATTGTCAGACAGAGGAGGAACCTCTGTGCTCTGACTCGTGCTGGAGTCAAGGAGACATCGTGAGGCTCTTTGATACAAAGTCCAAGGCAGAGTGAACAGCCGCAAACATCATGAGTACAACACTTGTCAAAAGCATGATAGCAAAACAACAACTAGCCCCATTCTTAAAGAAATTCTCCTCCTATGTCAGACTAGATGCATGATGTTTACATTCTGCTGCTCACCCAGTTCTGCCCTTCATGTAAGGACATCTATGAATGCACCTAACCAGTAGTGAAACCACTGGTGTGCGAGTTAATGTGTGTACGACCACGAGTGGGGGCAGCAATGCATAGAAGGGGGATGGTGTGGACTGTGTGTGTTATGTGACAGAGGACAGCAGCATAAGTATAAGCTATTAACGTGGTTGAATCAGCACTGATTATGCTGCGGGCCAACTGCCATTGGACATACTGACTGAGAGGCCAGAGAAGAACTGACCTGGCTGTTCAAAATGAGATTCATATATTTTTATATATTCATATATATAGTGAGATCATGTGAGAGAAGGATAAGGTAGGGAAAGGGAGTAGCTAATATTGCACCAACTGACTTCTCACATACTGTTACCCTCACATGGTAATGATGCGAACACGAGTCACACACACACACACACACACACACACACACACACACACACACACACACACACACAGCAAAGAATCACTTGTAAGCAAAGCAAAAATGCAGTCAAGAGTCACAAATAACTGTCTATTTTCTGTGGCTGGACTGAGCACCCTCCATCTATTCCACCATCACACATATAATCATTCACCAACCCTGCCCTCCTCACAAAACCTGCAGGTTATTCACATTAATACGGGTGTGGTCGTCCGATGAAAAATAAACACACACATTACTCAATATCTTTATCTTGAGGAACAATCTCAGGCTTTGATGTCAACTTCAACACTTTCACCTCATCCTCTCATCTGTGTCTTTAGTGACGTCAACTCCAAAAATATGAATTCACTTTGACGGGATTCTGGCCATTTTCCATGAAATCATCACACAGTGGTCTAACCCACCGCCCTTTTGTTACATACAGAGAGGCCCAAGGCTGCAAGCACTCATTCCTTCCACCCAGTAAATAACTACAAGTCACTGTCAACATCGGTTCCCTCTTACCGTGAAGGCGTTTTGCAGATCTGTTAAAACAGTTCCTGGTAGAGCTTGTAAATTCCCAGTTGTTTGATGGAGTGGAAGATGGACTGAGCGTGTAGTTGACAAACAGCCACTCAGCCAGTCAAACAGAGAGAGGGAAATACGTGGATGGTCCAAATAACTGGATCGGCAGGATATACAGTACATACTGTGACTTGCACTGCCCTTTTGTTTGGAGTTTTTGAATCAAAGTGACATGACACATTGCGTTCAACCAAGTGAAGGCAAAATGGGTTTCAACTTCATAGCCGACATGAAAGGAAGACGGCAGTTGGGTTATGAAGGATGCTTACATGCACATTAATATTACATTGTGTTTGCTGTGTAAATTCCAGTAAAGTGAAGTCAGTTCTTACATAAACACTCTAACAAAGCAGTTAATAATGACCTGAATGAGCCTATTTCATGACATGAATATGCTAGGCTGAAAAAGCTGGCATTATCTGCTGTAATTGCTGTTATGGCATGTAAACATTGTATCTTAGTTACAGTTTGTTGCAAAATTACATCAAGGTTTCCTGTTTCTGTGAGCCACAAACCATTAAAAGTGGCTACAGATGAATCCACATATATATCTTTGTGGGATATCTAATTCAAACACACTCTGTCACCCAACCACAATTCAGCAAATTCTGGGTCAATTAACTCCTAAAGAGTGTTTTGATCAAGGTTGTATATTTTCTTATTCCCCACTCCCAACAAACCAACTATCTGTCCATCCTCCTACCTTGGATTAGTATAGATAAGTCATAATCTGTGGACAGCAGCAGGTCAATATCCTTTCACACACACACACACACACACACACACACACACACACACACACACACACACACACACATATATATATAATCTGATACGCAGAGCCCAATCAGTCCAGAACATACACATACATCTTCTCTTCGCGTCATCTCAGACAACAGTGAAAGCCCTGAACTGTAACAGCAATAGTCTCCTGTGTTAATATTGTTTGACTGCCAGACTTTTTTCATACATTGACAAATCACTCACACTTGAAAACACTGTGTTGAAAGAAAAGTTCTGACAGAACTACCAATTAGCCCTTTGAAATGTTCCAAAGTTTATCCAAGGACCAAAGTCAATGTTATCCTGATTTTGAACTTTATAAAGCACATTTAAAGGCTTAAGTGCAAAAATATGCAGTAAATAGCATTTACGGTTGTGGTCTAGACATGTCTTGTTTTCATTTTGGTCCATTCAGGCCACTATCCCTGCCTGACCCAGGATCAAAATATCCCATCCTGACCAACTGCTTTCTAAGTACGGAAAACAAACATGATGGAGAATCATAAACAGCACTCTGTCAAACAATGTGGTGTCAACTATGCTTGAACATTTCCCTCCTTGGAGACAGAAGCTGTTGATTTGGTAAAAGGGAGGCACTGGCTAGTTTCAAAGCACGTCCGCGTCTCTCTCGTCTTTCTTTTGAGGGGAAAAAGGAAAGGAAAAGCCCACATTATCCTTTCATTAACAGGGTGATGTAACAAATTTAAAAAAAAATCTCAACTTCTTATTTTCTTTCTAAAAACAAAGCAATCATAAATGGCAAACACGCTTTACAATAAGTATATCAGCACGACAACAAGAAAAAAATCTTCAAATATATACATCTGTATGTCTTTGGTATGACTGACTGACAGAGTCAGGTCAGTTTGGACTATTTACATCTTAGCATACAATACTCTGACCATCTGCTGACATCTCCAGCTTCAAGTAATCCTTTCAAAGGGAAGTTATAGAGCTTCTGGACAGACTAGGCTGAAATAACAGGAAAGGCAGCAAATCAAATAATCCCAAAGACATGAGGAGAGAGCTCAGTTACTGAATAACAAAAAGGGACACCATGCA